GAAGTATCGTGAGAGCACAAAAGACCGCTCTGTCGCACTTTCATCTATTTACAGAAGACCTTTGATTCAGCTGAGATAGAAGCAGTCCTGGAATCCCTTGATAGTCCAGGAGTCCCTACTCAGTACATAAAGATTGCTCGTGAGCTGTACAAAAATTTCACAGCCAAGATATCACCATTCTACAACGATATTAACATTGACGTCAAAGGAGGAGTTAGGCCAAGCGATACCATCTCGCCAAAAATATTTAGCTCCACCCCCTATAATGTCATGCAACATTGGAATGGGATAGTATAGAAGTGAAAGTCGATGGTCGGCATTTACACCATCTTTGTTTTGCTGATGAGATTGTCCTTATAACACTATACAATGGTCAAGCGGAACGTATGCTTGACGACTTTGATAAAACCCCGTGGAAAGATTTGCTTTCGACTAAATCTCACAAAACGATGTTCATGAAGAACGGATTGGTTTCGCATGCCCCATTCACGCTCAACGGAACGAATATCTCTGAATGCTCCAATTATATCTGTTTAGGTCGGGAAATCAATGTGATGAACGACCTAGCTCCAAAGCTGAGCAGAAGAAAACGAAGGGCTTAGGGTGCTTTCAAGAGCATCGAGGATGTAGCGAGGCGAACAAAGAACAGCCGACTCTGTGCCCACCTTTTCGATTCAACGGTACTTCCTGCCATAACGTATGTGTCAAAAACTTGGTCGCTGCGTAAGCAGGATGAAAGATCGCTTAGCGTTATTGATCGACCAATCGAATGGACGATGCTAGGAGTATCCCGTTCCACACAAGTAAGGGATGGGATCCGAAGCTCCGATCTGCGTCAACGATCAGAAATCAAAGATGCCGTTCTGTATGCCAAACAGTCGAAGATAGAATGGACCGGACGCGTAATGCGTGAACGACAACTGGTGGAAAAGAACCGTGAATGATTGAATTCTCCGGGATGTCAAACGTACTGCAGGAAGACCAACAACCCGATGGTTAGAGTTTTTCACAAAGAGCCTTGAAGAAAGATATGATGCTCGACGAGTCCCTAGAGCGAGCAGAACCAACTGGGCTACTCTTGCACGCGACAGGGAAAAATGGAAAATTTACTGGCGACCGCTCGAGCCACTCGACGATCTACGGGACTAAAGATGATACAGGTGACAGTTTTTTAATACCCACATGTACCTTGCTTGGCTCTGAACGTGGGGGCTGGGTGTACTCATGGGTACCTTGCCAGTCTCTCCCAGAATGGACATAGGGCCTATTTGTTGGATGCGACTCCTAACCGCCCCCCATATACTTCACCGCCACTTAATCGCAGGTTTTTAGCAGTATTGACTCATAAAATACCATCCGCATAAACTAGAACGCACCCACACACGCATGCATGAATACGCCTTTTTGATACAGAAAGTATTGCCAAATCGGCGCAGCAGAAACAGGGTGTCCATTTCCTCTATCTATGTGTGTCTTAGCGAAACAAAGGTCGCTTTTGGTTCACGATTAACCCCCTGTCGGCCACCTGGGGATGCACCACGTAGCTTTGCAGCCAAACGGCTCGAGATCCCTCATAAGAGGGAGGTCCTTGGTCGTCCTAGGTACGTAGTGTAAACAAGGAGCATTTTTACGGGAATGCACCTCTTGTCGCTGGTCTACAGTCGCAACTTGGAATCCATGACGCACCACTGGTTTATTAAATGAGTTTACGGAGGTCACATTAACTCGTCAAAGTTGCAGCTTATGTAATCTGCCCAATATTTTCGCTATATAACCTCATTCAGTGATCTCAACTTGGAATCTCCGGTAAAAAGAAATCTATAAAATTTTCACATAGTTTGCTGGAGTAGGAAGTTATAATTTTCATCCGTACTTTTTTCGTATTCACTCTGCAAAGTAAACCTCGTTAGCGAATTCCGAAGAATAATAATGATAGTAAACGCCTATATAAATTTTCTCTCTATCCTTTAAATACAGTATTTGTCTGGGATAGACTCCGTTTTTGGGCATTTTCTATTCGCATTAATACATGAAATCATACAGTTTTTCTTAACATAAACAAAAGACTCAAGTTTAAGTGAGTTTTCAGCGGAAAATGTGAGTGTTTTCTTGGAACGTAGTGTATCGGCAAACTCACTGAGTCAAACACTACACGGCCTCATGAATCCGTACGAGAAGGAGTTCAACAAAGGAAAAGAGGATGCGATTTTTGAAATGTTCAAAATTCCTGGGAAAAATCAAGCGTCTATCGGACGACTACTAACGGTGAGAATACTGTCGATGTATGCCAATCGATATATTGGTTTTTTTGGTGTTCGTGAAGTGTTTCACAACTCGATAATGTTTTGTTCTTGTTATGATTCTGTCTATGTTTTAGATATTGAAGTCTTTGGGTTTACGTATAGACGATCCTCGTCTCAAATCTATGATGCGACACCTCAAAGAGATTGAAAAACAAGAAGAAGCGAAAACAAACGAAGTTACCGAACCGAAACGCTGGAAGCTAAACAAGGAACAATTTAAAGAGTACGAAAGTATTAATTATAGCCAGGAAAAATAATCCTTTATTAGGTTTTTCTTCCCGCACATTAGTTTTAATTCTTTAATCGACTATCGATTTAGAATGTATCGCCAACCAATTCACCAAAGTTGCAAAAACTTTAAGTAAAGCTAAATCTTGAGCGACGAAAGGAAACTAACCAAGTAGTGGATCCACGGATTTTTCAGACGTTACTGGAAAAAACGAAACGACCACGCACCAACGCATTGATGACAGTTACTTATTTAAAGTAAAAGAACAACAATGTCGATATATCACTAAATAACAATACAATAAGCCCAGCACCTTTTGAAATTATCTTATTAGCTCTATGACCTGAAGCAAATTTTGCTCTTTCAAGGATGAGTGGTTTCAGATGTGTTGCACACAGTGTAGATCTGATCTCTCAAGCACTGCAAAACAATCTCGTTATTCCGTCTTGGTCGAAATTTGTCGAACAAATCAAAATATTCTATCTGGAAGTGGGTGATCTAGCTATTATCAGCATTATAATAACATTATAAAGTTACGCAACAAGTATTTTTTAGCTTTTTAACAGTTTATTCATATGTATTCTTTCTTTGATGAGCTTACACGAGGTTGATAATGATGTTTATTTTCGGCTAACGTTTCGACGTCTTCGTCTTCCTCAGAGCCGATGATCCGAGTCGATGGTCCATGATTGTTATTCGTCTCGACGTGGCAGCTTCGCCTTCGTGTCGAGTTAGGTCTTCTTCAGCGAGCCATCTCCTCGAATGAGGCATCCTTACTCAGCGATGCCCTTTTGTACACGATGCTGATGGTGGATATAATGATAATGTCCGGTGATAACAACTTGTTTTTCTTCCGGACGTAATCATCGAGCACATCGTGCAGAAGTCGGTGTTATTATCAGTCAGCACTTCATTTATTCATAGTTAAATGTCAAAAAAGTAAAGCAGTTGGAATATCGCTTACACGCAAGGCCTTGGCTCAACCATACACCTGGCTAACCAAGCCTCGCATTAATTTTGAAAATTGCTAGCAGTGTTTCCTGAAATCAACTTGCTCTCTCCGATCCCGAAGAACTGACGATTGTCTGTACGACCTGAGACACCCTGGAACAGCTATATCAGGATTACAACCGAAATGTCACCGAATGATCTACGACGTCAGCTGACATTCTTAGAGCGTCTACGATCGTACTTCAGCTGACTGCCGCTGATTCTCTTTGCAGACACATGCCGAGCAACTGCATGAAATGGTCGTTAAGCAACAATTTACAGAATGTGCGAGGATAGATGTATAACGGTTACAAGTAAGAAATAGGAACTGTTTAAGGAATTGTTACTATATTTGGTAATGAACATGTCCTCCCAACATGCATTCGCCTGAATTCTCGCGGAGTAGACTCTACAGTTCTTTTCGTTTATTTGTGGTCTGTTATTCTCATTGGTGAGATGGTGGGCCCATTTGTGTTTCATTATCGATGTATATTCTCCTGGATCCCGAAGATGTGACAGATTTCGAAGATCAGAGCTTCGCATTCCGGCTAAGTATTGAGAGTGTCGATTCTATTTCAGAAGACATTGTTCAAGCGCTCTGTGGGTAACGCAGAGCATTCTTGATGTGGATGAAGTATCAACCCACTTCTCTGCACCATAGTAGAGCGCTGGGGAGAACCGTTGAATCGGAAAAGCGACCGTGGTTGCTTTCACTCTTCTATAACATGTGAAGAACAAGTTTCTAAAATGAAAGGATTGAGTTATGTTAAAAACGTACGTAAAAAAGTTAAGCAGATTATATCCACTATGCTCACTATGCATAAAAAGCGTTAAAGGGCTAAGCGCTTGTCCTTGATGAGTCTCTCAGGTAGGCGTCATGCATTCAGTTCCATTAGTAGCCTCATGAAGCCAATTTGAATGCATTTTGATGCGCGCAGTGACTTTCCTAGTCTTGAAAGTATATCGAATGAGTATTTTTGTTCTCATAAATAAGTATTTCCTCATATTAACAACATTGAAGGAATGTAGGGGTTAGTAAGTCTCGAGTATGGGATCACGTCAACAACCATTTTTGCAGCGCCGAGCACCTCTATTCGCTGGGTCACTCGGTCATAGAGAATAAAGTATAGCTGTAAAAAATGTTTTACATTATAATTAAAAAATGAAAACGGGAAGTCGTTAAAAATTTAGTGGACTTAGTGCAAATTTTTCATTAAGAAAATGAGTAGGGATAAGAAATAACTTAAATAAATAAAATAATAACATGTAAGTTATCATCCTTTGAACACACTGCGTGTAGGTTTGACCTTATGTTTGACGTCAAAAGCTAATGTAGCATATTTCTTGCTAAACGGAGTCCATAGTCGTAGAGTTTAGTGCATAACCCGGTTAAAAAGACTCGTTTAGTGCCTAGAAATTCGTAGTGGTTCCGTTGCCACCTACATTCCACAGCTGGCAAGACAATCACCGGATAAATGGGGTGTATCAATTTGTACAGTGGACGGACAACGAGTAAGTTAAATTAATGTCAAACATGGCATAAATACGAAAATGATTCATCATTCTTTTAATGCAAACAACAAACTATAATCTTATTGCTTTCTAAGCCTTGTAACTAAGTAAGATTTAAGTAGTAGGAAAAAAGTTTATAATTTCTATAATGCTGAGATATTTACAAAACTCTGGACCGCAGGTCTCTGCGGTGGGAAACGAACGCGCTATTTTCCTTTCCGGGGAGTAACGGAAACGAAACGGCGAAACGAAGGACTCGCATGGTGTGGTGGTGAACGCATTACTCCCCGGAAAGGACAATAGCGCGTTCGTTCCCTACTGCAGACACTTGCGGTCCAGAGTTTTACAAATATCTCAGCGTTATAGAAGTTATATTTCGCAACATACCCTGCCGTTAAAAAGAATAGGAAGTATATAAAAAGGCTAAAAAAGTTCATAATGGCGATCAAACCACCTCACTGTGATAGGGATGTTCTTCGGTGTCAAAAGTCTACTAAGGATTCAGCCTACTGAAAATTTAACCACTCCTGGTAAAGACTTCGGCGTCTTCCAGGGTTTCTTGGCCAATATTTTCGTTATGAAAACGAGCTTATAATAAGGTTTCAAACCCCTTACTAATCCACCAAGCGTCGGTGAATCCTTGTGGCGAGAATCTGGTAACTTTTTGAGGAGTAGGCATGCAAGCGTTCACGTGTTTCTGTGATATGCACGACCTTTTTCGTTTTCCGTGGTACCCAGCAATTATTTAGCTGTTACAATAATTTAATCATTGATCATTCAGTTTCCTGGGAATTTTTAATGTAGAAACGTTCCTTTCAACACGTACTCAGCTGTTCGGCATCACTTATCACGGCACTGTTTTTTGAGATGCAAAGACTAAATAGTTCGAGCCACACTTCCTGATTGCAGTAAAGTACAAAATACCAAAGTTTCTGCTGAGTCCAGGAAAACGAAGAAGAAGTATATACGAAAATAGTGTTTATTTTGTTGAGCATACGCGAGGTTGATAAGGATGTTTATTCGGCTAACGTTTCGATGTATTCGTTTTCACAAGAGCTTCAAATTTACATACGAAAAGCTTGCTAAGAGACATTATGAATGGATATCTCTACAGTAATCTCATTGCTCCCAGGTTTCCTTCGGAGACGCGAAAACGTCATTTTGTGTTCAGTCTCTCTCAAAAGCGTTCAACTATGCAATCGCTGCGTCGGATCTTGGTATGCTCTTATTGAAGAACACTACTCGTTACTATGTTTACGATATCTTTGCTAGTGGAAGCATTTGAAATGTAAAGAGCTGGAGGTATCTATTGTTTTATCTTCATACTTCGTTCTTTTTTACAAACCACGGTAGGATCTAATCGTATAAAGGTTAGTAGCCTTTGTTTCAGAAATGTGACCTCAGGAAAGCTCTGTGATTCTTAAAGTAAGCTCCTACAGTGTTTTTGGCTGAAATTATTTGCTTTTTTGACTAAATCGGAGAGAAGTTTATGGGCAATAGAGTGATACTTAAAAGCGACAAATGAAAAAACACAAGATCGCTAAAAAAGTTATGAAACAGGGATGTGGAGCCTTGGTGAGCCTGAATCGGAGGCAACCACCACCCTTCTCATAAACAACGGCATCAGTGCCACTACTCTACCAATCCAGTAACACAAGTTATACTATGAGACTTTTTGAAATAATATTAAAGCCTTATCGAAACGATGAAATACGTTCGCGCATATTTCACAAGAATAGAAGGATAAAGAATAAAGCATTCGGCGTTGATCAATCCATGAGAGATGCGCCATGCATTCGACTTCCTCAGGCAGTGTTAGAGGTGAGCAAAATCACTTGTGTCCGTCTGCCGATGTACCAAGTTAGTGCTTCTATGGAGACAAGTCTGGAACGAATTTACCGACCCTGGAGGGGTGAAAGGCATGGTGAGCTCGGGACGAGGGATCGAAGGAATGATAATGCGTGCATTGTGAGGCATCTCTAGCAACGCGCCACCCACATCCTATGAGAAAATCTAATACAACGTTATCAGTAACTGCCTTTTTTTTTAATGGCAGATTATGTTGCCAAATATAACTCGTATATATAATGCTGAGATATTTGCAAAACTCCGGACCGCAGGTGTATGCGGTGGGTAACGAACGCGCCATTGTCCTTACTGCTCCCCAGATCAATCCCACTGACAGGTGATTGCTGGTGGCAAAAAGATCGATAGAACTAGCTGAGAGACAGACGAAACGAAGCTCCCGCATGGTGTGGTGGTGAACGCGTTACTCCCCGGAAAGGACAATAGCGCGCGTTCGTTCCCCACCGCATACACCTGCGGTCCGGAGTTTTGCAAATATCTCAGCATTATATATACGAGTTATCATCAACAGCCATCCCGTATAATAGGGTGCTGCCGGGTGTGGTTGTGTCATTCGAGCGGTAATCCACTGAAGAAGATTCGACTTGATACGTCGAAGAAGACATGACATCGAGAAGATGAGCGACTGTGAACCATACACTCGTGTCGTCGGATCTGACGAAGACGATGACGTCGGAACGATAGCCGAATAAATGTTTCCTAACAATCTCGTGTTTCAATCTTAACCGTTTTATTTACTGCCAATTCTTTTTAATGGCAGGGTATATTGCGAAATATAACTTCAATGAAACAGATATTTGCAGAACTCCGGATCGCAGGTGTCTGCGGTAAGGAACGAACGCGTTATTGTTCTTTCCGGGGAGTAGCGCGTTCACCACGCCGTTAAAAACGGTAGGCGGCAAATAAAAACGGTTAAGATTGTGATTATATCTAAAGCTTCAGCTTAACTAGGTTCATTGCCGGCTTGGACGCACGAGATCAATCCCGATGACGGGTGATTGCTGATAGCAGAGATCAGTAGAACTAGCTGAGAGACAGGTGAAACGAAGGACGTACATGGTGTGGTAGTGAACGCGTTACTCCCCGGAAAGGACAATAGCGCGCTTCGTTCCCCACCGCAGACACCTGCAGTCCGGAGTTTTGCAAATATCTCAGCATAATGTTTAACGTTTTGTTTTCTGCCTTCTATAATTTTCATGGCAGGTTACTAAGCGAAATACAACCACAACGTTCTTTTTAATGGCAGGGTATATTGCGAAATATAACTTCAATGAAACTGAGATATTTGCAGAACTCCGGATCGCAGGTGTCTGCGGTAAGGAACGAACGCGTTATTGTTCTTTCCGGGGAGTAGCGCGTTCACCACGCCGTTAAAAACGGTAGGCGGCAAATAAAAACGGTTAAGATTGTGATTATATCTAAAGCTTCAGCTTAACTAGGTTCATTGCCGGCTTGGACGCACGAGATCAATCCCGATGACGGGTGATTGCTGATAGCAGAGATCAGTAGAACTAGCTGAGAGACAGGTGAAACGAAGGACGTACATGGTGTGGTAGTGAACGCGTTACTCCCCGGAAAGGACAATAGCGCGCTTCGTTTCCCACCGCAGACACCTACGGTCCAGAGTTTTGCAAATATCTCAGCAACGTTGTGGTTGTATCTCAGCATAGTTGAAGCTAAATCTCGTATTAGCTTATTAATGAAAGCTTAAGACATATCTGAGACATTTCCAAACTCGCACTAAAATGGCGAAACCTGTTGGATCGCTGAATTTAGCTCGATTAAATTCAGTATCTATGCAAAAAAATGCGTATTGTTCAGGAGCGGACTATGTGCACTCATATGTTGGACAGGAGCCAAGTGGTCGCTTTTTCAACGAAATATGTCTAGATGCAAAAAGTAAGTGCAAATTTTTTAGATTATCCTAAGATCAGTTCTTACCTGACGTTTGGGCTTATCACTTCTTCCATTCTATCTGTTATGTTGCACCCTTCATTCGTGTCTGCAGTCGGATCTACAACAGTGTTGTGCTGTAGCCTCAAGATTCTTCCCCTCTCTCAACTATGCTTTGAATGCTTATTAAAGTCTGAAAGCCCACCGAAGCGTCCCAAGAGTTTCTCCACAAGTGGTTTCTTGTCGGCCGTATGAAAGCTTTCTGCCTTGCGACTATGATTCTTCCAGGACAGAACGATTTCTTCGTCGGTAGCGATTTCTGCGATTAGTCACCCTGATGAGCAGGAATAAAGTAGTAAGCCGAACATTAAACAGTGAGCCTTCAGTGGGCTTTTTGGAAGATTACTGAAGAAACCTTCCTTGAGTGAAGCGAATGGAGCATGCAGATCACCTCAAGTTTTCCAGAAAGAGATTTTGACAGAATGAACTGTTTTCTATGTATTCGTTCCGTATAAACGAATTGTGTATTTTATTCAGTGATTCTAAAAAAACATTTAATGATTAAACGGTGGAGCTTCCATTGCTGATGAATCTCAATGAGACGTGTTGCCGCACTCGTATTCTGTTTCGATAAGAAACCAATGTTGATGCAACCTGTGAAGTAATAATAGAAAACCAATCCACATCTCTGCTTTAAAGTTATCATCCATTTTCCTCATTAGCCTGCTTAAACTATTTCGTCAGTTGGGAAAAGTTCACACTCTTAGCAAGATGTTGTTACATATATCTGACAATTTAGTGTATTCACAGGGAGTACACATGGACTAACGTCAGCTATTGCCGTTACTGTGGTCTACTCGATAAAAACATAGAATGCCTTTAATCCATTGCAGAGGTATTTTTGGTGATGACCAACGATGATAACGTGCAGCTATCTCATTCCAATGTGGTGCATGTGGCCCAGTGGTTGGAGGCGTCCTGCAACACAGACGTGGAGTCGATCCCAGCGCCCATGGCCCACCGAGCCCTCCATCCCACCGCGGTCGGCGAATTGGTGCCAGACTTGTATGGGAGGATAGTAGCACTGGCTCGATGCATCGGAAGGCTACCGCGAGTCACTGTAAAGGCTAGATATGCATTCAATCATCTCGAAACGATGCTTAATGAAGTCGTATGCATGGCGCATCCCTCAGGGACTGATCAACACCGAAAACTTTTGGAGCTTTTACATCATTTCAGGAAAAAAGGGGCTTGTGGGCCCAGAAAAAAAACCAATTTTGATACCTCATGAGCTATTCAGCGAAAGCAAAGACTCAGGAAAAAGCGATTTAATTTCGGTGTGTGGTGAAATTAAGTATCAAGCCAAATGAGAAAGGGAGCAAACCCAAGATCTATCACTAACACTCCTTCTGACTCCTTCATTTACATCGATTGGGTCATTGTAGAAGCTCTTGCAGATAAACCACACAATCCCATGGTGAATTCTGGAGCGATAGTCGTCACTTCACTTATCAAAAGCACGTGGAATATGGCGGATAGATTTGATTATGTGAGTGTTCATTTCTGATTTGTTCTAGAGGCAAATACTTCTAACCAAAGCGTTAACTGAAATTTATTACTGTTAATTAAATGTAATTGTTTTTTAGGTGATCACCGAATACAGAAAGATTGCCGGTGGAGAATATATTGGATTCAATAATGCGACGTAAGCTCATGACTTGCACTGCTCAAATCTTTCCCTTAGCTATCACACAGTTTCGATCTTATAGTGGAGTGGTTCAGATTGCCTTGTAACACTAGTCGTTGGTAGAATTCCGTGTGTTGGTCTAAGTCATCGTTGTTGCCTTGTGGTTTCATGAAATTAGGACCAAATTACGTTGGGAGGAGAAAACGCTCACTTGATGTTGCCGCTGATCGGTCGGTTACCGCCAGTCATTGTATGAATCAGACGTGCATTTAAGCAACTTCGTAATACATAATTGTGTCGAATATGTTGCCTAGGGTTCAAGAATCATCAGGAGTAGAGATTTTCTCCTTTATCTTTTAACCACATGCTGTATGCTGTCCATTTTCGAAATAGATTTTCGACATGGACGTTTAGTTGAACTGTCGCGAGACCTTAAAAATCGCCATGAATCAAATAATTGTTAACGTTTACCAAAAAATTGAATTAGTTTGAAACGTCAGAATAACATCAGAATGATAAGATGCTACGTCGTTGGTGAAATGGTACAAGCGCTGTTTTTCCAGCGCCTCTTCCATATCGCCCGTTTTACAGCGTTTTCGAAATTTTTAAAACGGTGACTATATATCTAAGTTCTAGATAGGAGAAGAATTACGCTCATCTAAGAGTACAGGGATACCGTGATATATGGTATAGGTTCAGGCCTTCTAGTAAAAACTTATTTACCGTGTGTTGGTTCTGTCACACTGGTTTTCTTGACCTGCAGGGTTACGCGAGATCTTCCACACTCAAACGCGGGTAACTAAGCCGTTTATGAACAATACTACCGGCATAATCACGGATAAACTTCAGAAATGTATATACAGTGAATTACAACCAAGGTTGCAAGGAACTAAAGCAGTATACGTAATGAATTGCGCTAACAGCAATTCTGTAAAAGATTTATGACGTACGAAGTATAAATACAAATACTGCTCATGGAAATCGATAGCTGAACAATTGGAGAATAGTCCACAAAATTAAAAAGAAAGAAAATGATTTAGACTGTGCGACCAATATTTAAGCGAATGGGGAAACGCTATTCATATTCGAATGGGGTGGAGATGGTCGCAAGATCGAACTATTACTCAGTGGCACTTTTCCCTATGGTTGTATTTATAATAGGGTGTAAGGGGATCAGGTCGGTCTGGTGTAAGGTTATCTTAAATACTGTAGATTACGTGATTGGAGTAAGTAGTGCTGTAAATAGAGAATGATGTGCTCTATTTACGAGACTTATAATTACTAGAAAGTTAAAGAACATATGATGGAGAAAAGATGAGTCCACACAAGGTTGCTGTAAGTCTTTGTTATAACTATATGAACTATATTTTAGCAGGGTTCGGCAGCACATATTTTTAAAATCCGCTTTTAACTAAACCTCGGCAGAAACAATCAATTTCCCGTTGTATTCTTAGGTTTACACGAGGTTAGTTCAAAACTTTTCCTTAGCCTAATGTTTCTCATACTTCATAGCCACCTTGATCCGAGTCAATCGCTTACAGTTGGTCGTTGTCACGATATCGTTGTTGCTCTATACCGATCTCCTTCAGGCTTAAGATTAAAAGAGGGTGGAGGTATAAAGCTCTCGGCGCTGATCATTTCTGAGGAAAAACATTCGACTTCACGAAGCATCGTTAGGGGTGATTAAATGCATATCTGGTGTAAACAATGATTTTCAGCGGCCTATCAAAGTGTCACGTTAGTGCTGCTATCCACACAAACAAGTATGGTACCAATTTGTCGACCCCGGATAGATGAAAGCTTTGCTGACCTTGTTGCGCGGTACCGAACCCGTGTGTATTTCACGGCACCTCTAACTGCTGCGCTACACTTGCCACCAAGCTTAAGAATACAACAAAATATTGATATCACGTATATCGGCAAGCATTCTCCACACTCCACCTAGCACTCTCTTGCATTCGAATTTGTTTCTAGCCTCCATCAGCCATGAAGGTCATCGAACTTTTTACGAGCAGATTCGGCTGCTGCTTGAAGATTTTCCGTCTACGTCATGAATCTCGTTGAATGCTGATAGATTCGATTATTTCTGGAATCCTAGCATGGATGCGCCTTTTCCTACTTCCAATGCATTTGAACTGCCGTTTTCTCGTTCTAACTTGTTCTACACTCCATTTATTGATCGACATGC